GCACACAGCTTTCTTCAAATCTCTGAATCTTTCTTTCGGTGTGGAACTCTGGGGGAAATGGTTCACCTAGAAAGCAATAGGAGTGGCTGGAGAACTGGTGGCTATGCAGAACAGCTTCTCAAACAGGGAAAGGAATTTATACTTGCACTTAAAACTGGGAACAATGTTTATCCTTACTACTGGATCTGGTTCAGCATTTAACTTCTCATCTGAAAACACTACAAATTAACTATTTTAACCTGTGAAACTAAGTTTGTAGTAGCAGACCCAGCAGTTAGTCACCTAGTGTTTGTCTCTTACAAAATGATGGATTACAGCTCCACCAGGTGGCTGCCAACAGTGAGAATGAGACAGGCTGACATCCATCAGGAGGAGGGAGAAGCTGCTCTAATTTTATTTGTGCATCATTTGTCTACATCAGATTCAATTTAGTGAAGGGCAAAGAAGGGAGACCATTACAGGTTTTTCTAGGAAGTCTGTCTGGCATCCGCGCCCGCCCTCCCCCCCTCCCCTGCCACACATACACACACACACACACACACACACAAAACAAGATCACTATGACTCACTTTTGACATAGATGTACCCAAAACCCATAGACAGATTCTGATGGGTAATTGTGCTGCAGGCTCATGTATTCTGGTGCCCTCATCCTGACTATTCTTTGTGGTTTTCCTCAAAGGACCATAGGTTAATTTTGGCTTCTGACCATTAGATACTTCAGTGTGATGTGGCTCAGATGCTAGCTGTCATGACAGTGTGGTAGGAAAGGATGCTGGTGACCTGAATTCCATTTTAGGCTCTGCTCCCATTAGGCAGGTGACTTTTTTGGCTCTCAGTTTTCTCATCTGTGGAATAAGTGAATTGTAATGGCTGATCTCCAGAAACTCTTAGCCATGTGCACAAGCATTTTAGTGATTTTTGTTTTAATTTGGAAAGGAATGAACTTGTTAAATATTTAAAATCAAATACAAAAGATGAGGGGGAAAAGCTATATTTAGAATAGACATTTGCATTTTTTAAATTAAACTCTACATTATGACATTGATGATAAGAACTAGAGTGAAACAATCTTCACTATTCTCTCTTTAGTACAAATGTGGCACAGATGTGATAATAAAGTCCATATGCAGCCTGGCTTGAAAGTATCTGATTAGACATAAAATGTTAAAAATAAGTAAATTGAGCTATCAAGTTGTTTTAGGCAGCACAAAGAATTTTTTAAAAATCCAGCTACTAAAACATTGAAAGATGAAATTCATTTTTCCAATTGATTGGTTCTATTGTCATTTAGGTTTAGTGAAAAGAGAAAGAAGTAGCTTCTTTCTCTGTGTTAAGTAAACATCTTAATCATTTGAAAATGAAAGATAGTGTAAAATTGGTATTTTAAGAACATTCTCTGGTTTGTCCTCCTGTATTCATTAATAAAATGAACTATCCTTAATGGATCCAGGTATTCTAAATTGCAGTTGGTAAGTGTGACATTTTAAGTGATTTTATTTTTTCATATTAGTTAAGGACATTGTCTTGAAAAAAAGCATAACCCGAATTTTATTCCAGTTTTTAACAATACAGCCAACTTAGGAAATACCAAGAACTGATTAACATTAACAACAAGTGAATTCATTATTTTACTCTTTCTGTTTCCCTCTTAAAAAATAGTTTATTTGTTATTTAAAAAATTATCCACGAATGAAGACTGATCCACTTGGTGGCTCCTCCTACCCTTTCAAAACAATCAGTTTATACATTTTTGCTGCTCTTCTTGGGTCAGTTTGCCTTCTTCCATATGTGCCTTTATTGGCATATTGCTGTGCCACCTGCTTGGAGTTTTGGAGTATATTAGCTTTGAATGCAACATAGACTTTGGGTTCTTTTTTGTCTCATGAGACATTTAGATGAAAATAGAATCTTTATTAATAACTTATGTGTTCTTTCTGTTTATTTCTATGAGGGACATTGCAGCTGGTTGCTATGGAATTGCTTGATAATTAACAAAGATTATAACTTTAGATAGAAATTGAAGAGACAGGGTAAAATCAGATTTTCAAATATTGGCCCAGACCTGTTAATTTAAGAGTAACAATTATGGTTTTGGTGAAAAATTTTAGAAAGTTAGGTTCAAAGTGTGCCTTATGTCAAAGGGAAAGTCTTAATTTTAGTTCCTGCTAATAACCACATGATGAAAGGTTACCGATGGGGGAAAAATGCACATACACAGATACACATATACTCTTTATATATTATTACTCATGATTCCTAACAGTCTCGTGGACTAAATAATTTCCCTGTATATTTTTGTTGAGCAAAAACAAAGGTGTTCTAATACATAACCTTAGTTCTGGAATTTAAAATTTAATTTTAGTTTCAGTGTCCTTCTAATAGTGAGTTTAAAAAATACATGTTCATTAATAGTATGCATTGAAAAAGGAGTTTGTGGCCATTTTGTTGTACATTCTTGTAATAACTTGATTAGTGGCATGTGATTTTACTTCTCTAAGTCTATTTTCCACATTTGTATAAAATGGAGGTTGTAGGTATGAGCATAAGAGATGGGAGTGTATGTTAGAACAATTTCTAATATCTCTTCCATTTCTAAATATTTTATGATATTATGGAAGCAAAATGTGTTGATGGTTCCATGACCACATCTATTTTTGCCTTAGGGGTTTCTGAAATATTTAATTATATTCTAAATAATTTAATATGGTTAACTATTAAACATTTAAAATTTGTCAGAAGTGTCTTTGTCAAATAAGAATTTGATTTGACTTTCAAAGAATCTGAACAAGGCTAAATATAAATGGATTGGAGTAATTTATCCCCATTCTTTTATTTTATTAGTTGAATTAATTTGTAAGCATTTAGCCCAGGGAATATGTGTAACTCTTCATTTTATTAATGGTTTAGCCTTAATGCTATCTTTCTTTTAGCTTGCAGTAAGTATGAAGTAGTTACAAACTTTTTAGGATTCTTATCTTCCATGTATATATATATATGTGTGTGTGTATGTGTGTGTGTGTGTGTATAGATAGATAGATAGATAGTTAGATAGCTAGCTAGCTAATACGCCAAGTGTCCATCCACCTGGTCACTATGACACACACTGACCACCAGGGGAAGATGCTCAACGCAGGAGCTGCTGTGACACACACTGGCCATTTATAGAGAAATGGCACTGTGGACCTGATACCCACAAAGCAATACTTGGCTTCCCCCAGTGGGACACAAGCCCCACCACCACCTTGGAGTAACAGCCCACCAAATCACAGCGGACTCTGCTGAGACTTCATGGCACAAAATGCGGCCCACAGCCCAGCCCATTCTGGAAATGGTGGCTGTGGGTGCTGGGTAATGACATCATGTAGCAACGCCCAGCTTCCTCTCCCTAGCGACTAGCCTCCTTGCAGTTTCTTCAGCCCAGGAACACAACTTGCTTTATAGCCAGGTGGAAACAATTTACACTGTAACCAAATGTCTGTGAAGCATTTTCCTGTGTCTCATCTCATTTGATCCTCACAGAAGTCCTGGAGTAGGTAGATAGGAGATTCGATGGAATCCTATTTTCTTTTCATTAGCTGGAAAATGGAGATTTAGAAAGCTTAGAAACTTGACCCAACTGAAAAGAGGTAAGAAATGGTGGACCTTGAAAATGACTTCAGGTTTTCTCCTATAAAGTTCATAAGCAATAAAATAAATACAGCTGTCAGTCTCTTCTACTTATTCTTTTCTGGATGTTGATGAGGTGACTATTTTGTTCTCTACCTAATCTAGTTGCAATAGTGTTTTTTCTTAAAGAAAAAAAGCCAATAAGTTAAATTATGTTACCATTATTTTTATAATCAAACTAGTGGCCCGGTGCACGAATTTGTGCACATTGAAAGGAAATTAATTAGAAGAAATATTTTAATATTGCTATTAATCTTTTTTCTT